TTATTTGTCTATTTGTTTTCCTGAGAAACTATTTTGTAGATAATAATATGTAAAACGATAACCATTGATAATTTCCTACCATTTTGTCTGTAATTTGCTAAGTCCCCCCTATTATTATGTTATCCTTCTTTTATTCTTTAAAATAAAAAAAAAAAATACCCTGGGCCCTTTTGTTTCTTATAGTTCTGCTCTGAGGAAGCCCAGCATCGAGGCGCCAGCAGCTTTGATATCTGGGGGGGACGCTGTTCACGTGTGGCACCTCCTCAGTTGTCCTCACACAGGCAACGGTGCTGAGCACCTCATCCCCACCAAGGGATGCACCTCCCAAAGACCAGGGCCTGGGGCTGAAATTCTAATGTGGGAAATTTGGGGGACACACATTCTGCAGCCATAGCAGAAAGTCTGCACCACCTCTATATCCTACATCTATCTTTTTAAATTTCCCTGTAATAATTCTAAAGTTTCATAACTAAGACTTAAATGTACTGAGAGCTTAGTTTTTTGGATTATGAGAGATAAAGAGCTAAGCTGATTACTTTTAATGCTTTCTGAAAATCATTGATGTCGTTAAACACTCCGCTGTAACGCGTCCTACATTATACTCCGCGTGTTCACAGCTCTGTCCTGACTTCTGCGTTTTCACACAGCCAAACCCACCCTGCACTGTCACAATGAGTCCAGCTCTGTGTGTCTCTTGTTTAACTGACAACAGCCTAGGCCATAATGTGTTTTAAATGCTACATTAACTGAATAGTTATATGTTCTCTGTTTTGGTTTTATTTTCTTTTAGAAGTTGGGACCATTTAGTGGAAAATTTAGGACTGTTCTCTACGAAACAGTGAGGCTCCTGAGGTAACGGTTGATTCCAGTGGCGGCACTGTTTCTTGGAATGCCTTCTGACTTAGAGGTAATGGTTAAGAACAACAGAGATGTCAAAAGGCATGGGAGCCAGCTTCACCCAAGAGAACATGAATATCCAAATGGTTTTAACAGATTATCTAACCTCAGTGACTAAGATACCAATTCAAATCCAGGCCAACGTATCCGTAAATCAATACATGAATAGAGAAAGAAAACCATTTTCTCATAACAGAATGCCAACTAACCAATGTGGAATGCGCGATGGAGTTGGACAACCCTTTTAACAGTTATCAGTAGTAATTAAAGCAAGAACTGTCAATGATGCTAAGACCTGTGGGGACAGCTTGATGCAGAGCAGGACCCCTCCTCGGTCTCACCGTGTCCCCCATGCAGTATGTGCCAGTTGCAGGGGGAGGGGGACAGTATTCAGGCAGTGGGGGAGCCTGGAAGGTGCCCCTTATTCCGGGGGGCCCAAATTACATCCCAGTGACGGGACTGGGACACAGGCATCCCAGAACTGTGCGCTGTGAAAGACACAGACTTATCTCCCTGTCACCCTGCCAAAGAGGTAAAAATCTAAATTTAATCAAGGGGCACCTCAGACAAATCTGAATTGAAGGCTATCATAGGAAACTGCTGGCCTACATGCTTTCAAAGCAGCCAGGACGTGAAGGCCTAAGTAAGGGAGACCGAGAAATGTTCCCGACTGCAGGAGATGAGAGAGATTTTATAATTAAGTGCAATGTCTAAAATCCTGGCTTGGATCCCAAAAAATTATTTTCTGTTACCATCTAGGACATTATTAAGATAACTGGCGAATGCTGAATAGCGTCTACAGAGTAGATAGTCACGTCATTGTGCTGTTAATCTCCTGACTGCCCGCTCTGTGGGAGTTACGTAAGACAGAGCCTCTGTTCTCAGGAACGACACTGAAGTATTGCGGGGTCTTACCAATGTGCAGTTTATTCTAAATATGTAGATAAAAGCCAGTGTGGGGAATGTTACTATTTGCAGAATCTGGATGAAGGTACCCAGGAGCTTTAGGTATAACTTCTAAAACTTTTTTTCTAAGTTTGAGATTATTTTTAAATGTAAGGTTATTATAGAAACAGTGCATTTTCCTTCCTACTAAAATATTGATTTTTTAAAATGTGAGCCTCAGCAGTGTCTTTTATCACTCCTTGGGAGCTCACAAAGGTTTACTTAACGTACGTATGTCTCTGGCATCAGTTATCCGTTAGTCTAAGGACATGGAAGTGAGCTAGAAAAATTAGCCTTGCCCGTGTGGTGCTGAGAATCTAGTGGGGAAACAACTAGTGGACAGTAACTCCTCCCACGTGGGTAGGCGGCCCTTCCTGCGGCCTCACGGCCTCAGGAACACAGCTGGGGAGCAGGTGCACCGGGCTCCGCACCCCTCTGCGCCACACACAAGCCCAGGATTCCGCGGTCCACCCAACCGCCCTCCTTGCCTGCGTTTCTTGATAACTCAAAATTTCCCATCCTGAAAAGCAATAAAGCCGCTGCAGAAACAGGGCTTGTTTTCAAACCTCCTGTTCATTATAGAGATAGGCATCTGAGGAACTCCGGGCCACGTCCTGGGGCGAGTTTTTTTGAAAATTGAAACAAAAAGGAGTTTGTCACAGAGCTCACAAGGGGAATTCTGAAAGCTTCATTGGTTTTTAATAATATTTCCAATTAATTCATTCGTCATTTCCTGATTTTCTGAAACCATTCATTTCTAAAGCAGCTATTTTTAACAGGAGGCAAAGTTAAGAATGCTATGGTTCTAACTGATCTGATCTAAGCTAACCTTTAAGTCATTTATAAAAATGCAAAACAAGCCTGGGCCCTGGTCTGAAATGAGCGCTTTGCAGCCTTGAGGAGGAGGAGCTCAAATGCTCCAGGGACACGAGGGTCCAGAGATAAACGGAACCAGGCCCAAGTGCTCCTCCTGGCCGCAGGCCCAAGGCCCACACGAGGGGATCCGAGCCCCGCTGTCACAGGGGCATCCAGATGCTCCAGCAAGGCCGCCAGGCGGTGAGGAGCTGGAGTGGGATGGAAAGGGGATTTGTGGTGTGGAGGCTGGAGGGGGCGGTCAGTCTGTAACTTCCTTCCTGCCACCCTTGGCCCTGTAGCTGCTGTAGTCACCAGGGACCCTCACCCACCCATGTCTCTGCTCTGGTCTGGCCCCTTCAGGCTGCCCCACCGAGGCTGCTACACCCTCAAAGGAATTCTGGGAACCTCTGGACCTGCCACCCCCGGCCTCCTCTGTCATGGTGCGTAGTTGTCAACACAGGGGACGCTCCACTTTTAGGGACTGGGCACGGAAACACCTCAACCCACAGACCTGTAAATGGAGTAATGAGCCTCTGTTCTATAAAAGGATTTCCCTGAAAACCGAGCTTTCCTGAAGAGCAGAGCATCAGGTTAATAATATCCTTTGGTTATTTCAGGCTGATCAGGTCTGAAATCTCCCAAACGAGTGTACGGTGAAGGCTAAATAAAAAGAGGTAAACGGAATGATTTCAGAGCTCCAGGAGTATCAGAGCTCTCTTAGAGAATTCAAGATCCTCTCAGAGCTACAACCAAGACCTTCTCTGGGTCACCCATATTTATTTAGTTATGGGAGGGGAGTACTCAAAATGGGAAGAACCACTCCAGGACTTCTCCAAGTAAGGTAATAAATTAATCCACCCAGGACTGAGATGCCTGAGGCTACAGTCTTTATCTAGTTGAGGTTGGATCCAGGAGTCCTTGGCTGTGAATTTGTCTTATCCTTTGAGGGTTTCCAGTTTCACCCGCCATTACAGGCCTCAGTAGGGATTACTGATTCTCAGAGGCTCACTAACTATGAGTCCACCACCCATCTCCAGCCCACCTCCAGACAAGGAGCCTAGGCCTTGGACAGACTCACAAGTAAACATGAAAGTCAATTGGTTAATTTAAGTCCTGCTCAGAGCTGCTTCATAGTGGTCTCCATCAGCAGAGGCAGATTCCCCATGAAGTCACAGGCTCACAGTATGAGGTCCCTCCCCACTAAGCCCTCCCAGGACCACGGGATGACACCACATGGTGCATTACATGGTTGTGCATCTTGTCTGCAACTCTTCAGAAGTACAATGTTAGGACCACTGTCCTTTCCACTGTGGCTTCCTCTGCAGACCCTTTCCCTTGTGCCCATGGCTGTGGTATCAGGGAGCAGTTCTAGGGTCCAGGTAAAGGGAGCATGAGTCAGGTCTGAAACCATTAGTCTGGGTTTGTTTGTTTGGTCTTTTTGAGACAGGCTCTCGCCATGCAGTTCAGGCTGGCCTTGAGCTCACTTCATAACCCAGGCTGGTCTCGAACTCACAATGGTCTTCCTGTCTCCACCTCCTGAATGCTGGGATTACAGGCACATGCCACCTTGCCTGGCCTTTAGTCCGGGTTTAGTGGGATACTTTATGTGGTTCATATTCACTTTGGTGCAGTTTGTCATAGACATCCTGGTGCAGAAGGGCCCTTGGGACCACCCTTGTCTTCCACATACAGAGCTCCTCAGGTTCAGGGCAGGAAGAAGCAAAGTGTGGAGGTTTGTAAGTAATGAGGGGAGAGTATGTTAGGAAGAAGACTGGCTTCCCTGCCTAGTGTGCTGGTCAGCTCTCTTCTGGCTGGAACAAATACCTGACAACCACACCTTAAAGGAGGAGAAATTTATTTTAGCTTACAGTTGCAGAAGGTTCATTCCATGGTCATCTGGCTCCAAAGAGGGAACATCATAGTGGAAGGGCATGGTGAAGAAAAGATGTTTTGTTCCTGGTGGCTGGAAGTAGAGCACAGGGGAAGAGCAGCAGTGAGAGAACACCTTATAAAAGCAGGCCCTGGTGACCTCTCTCTTCCACCTTCTGACAGCACAGTCTGCTAAGAATATTCCGGGTCAGTCCACTGATGAGCACAGCACCTCATGACCCAGTCAAGTTGACAAGGAAGACTAGAACTACAGTGAGGAAGGTACTGGTTGGCCCAAGCCCTTTGAGAGAGGAAAGTTCCTTCCAGTCAGTCTCACCCTACCAGAGAAAGCAGCTCTTATTTGGTATGTGTGAAATTCTAGAAGCTTCTTTCCACTCAAGGAGACAATAAATCCTTGGCTTCCTTTCACTGGGGTGAGGCAACTGCTTTCAGCAGATTCTTGGTGTTGGGCCAGGGAGACCAACACTCCCTTCCCAAGGCTGGAAGAAACCCATTTCTGAAAAACTAAATTTTTGTAAATGAAATGTTTAAATATCTTGAAAGACCTCAATATTGAGAAGAATCCTGGGGAGAATCTTCTATAAAATGGATACTTGATCCCAAATTATTCTGCCCAGTTCTAAGGTTACAAATAATAGCTAGTAGCTAATTTACTTTGGGCATGTGACCACCCCGGGTATGGTATCAAGGGTCCTTAGCATGCCTTACTCAGCCTTCACGTTGACCCTGTGAGGGAATTGCTATCGGCATCTTCCCAGGTCTGGACAGGGGCCGGTTATGCATAATGGGTTATGTAAGCAGAAGGGGAAGCAGTCTTCAAAAGTTATTCTCTTTTGAGTTTTAGGGATTACTTTGGATTTAATTTTATGCTGACATAATTATATAAATTGGGAACATAGTTCTAGAGTCAAATCTATAAAAAATATAATCTCTATCCTTTTCCTCCATGCTATTTTATTTTGCCAGTGTAACTTTTTAAATGGTTTATTTTAATTTTTATATGTAAACAAATAACTCTTATAGAGAAATGGTATCATACTCCATACACTCTTCTCCATCTTTAGAAATTAAAAGAACACAAAACTAAATGATGCCCTTGGACCTATTTTGTAAATTGAAGGTATAACCATACCATCCTAAAACGACTTTAAATTGTTTATTTGCCTACTTTAATTACTTTGGAAGATACCAGGACACCATCTTATTGCTTTGAGAACTGGTAAATTATGAAAAGAGTCAAGAATTTATTCTACTAGTCCTAAAAACTAAAAAAGTATTGCAGCTTATATAAGAGGGTCTCCTTTTGTGACTCCCTGTGTCATGCTCTATGTAGGTAATAATCATCAATAAAAACCAACATCATGAAAAGGAGATGAATATTGCCAACTCTACGATGGAACAACCACCATCATTCACAGCACTGAAAAAAATATAAATTCAAAAAATCAAGCCTGCTTCTAGGAAGCATCATTATGTGGCTCTCGGTCACAGAAATCCCAGGAGAAGGGACACATTGAACAACTCAGTGCGACACTGTCAGCAAACTCAGACCGTGGGTGTCCAATGGGAGAAACATCCTGGCTTCTCTCACTCTCTGCTTTGCCAGAAATAACAAAAGAGCTAAAAAACAAACAAAAGCAAGAGAACCCATAAATTAAAGGAGCCTAAGAGATAATCAGTTTTCATGTAGAGATCTTGTTTGAGCTGTGATTCTAATCAGTACTCAAAAAATAATTTTTAGGACCATAGGGGATCCACAGCAATTACTGAATGGATATTTGGTAAAAATTGAGAAGTTGTTAATTTTTTAGATAAGTGAATGTTATTGCGGGTTTTTTGTTCTGCGTATTTTAGATAAACAAACTGAAATATTTATAGATGAAATTTGATGATGTCTGGGATTTGCTTCAAAATAATTCAGTGAGAGAGGCAATTTTCAGGATGTGACAAAACGAGATTGACCTTGCAGTGATGGCTTGTTTTGTTTTGTTTTTTGAGACAGGGTCTTGCTATATATTTCAGGCTGGCCTGGAACTCACTTCAATCCTCTTGCCTCAGCCTTCTGAGCGCTGGAATTACAGGTGTGCATCACCATGCCTGGCTCTGTATTGATAATTATTGAATTGAAGTGCTAGGTATAGTTTTATATTATGCTCCCTATCTTTGTATGTTGAAAATTTCCATACAACATTTTCAAGGACTTTTTAAAAAATCTATGCTTTTATGTGTTGCTGGTCTCAATTTATCATCCACATATCTATTCAGTCACAAACATGATTAGTTTTCTCCTGGTTTTCAAAGGCAAATTTATTCATACTATGAAGTAATCCATTCCAATCCCTCTTTGCACATTGTAATGACTTCACTCCATTCCTCCCTGCCCATGGAATGTGTCTTGGTTACTTTTCTCTCGTTGCTGAGCCAAAATACCCAATGCCCAGAATTAAGGAAGGAAAGGTTTATTTAGCTCACAGTTTGCGGAGGTTTCAGTTCATACCCGGCTGGCTCCAAGGCAGAGTGGCACATGGCAGAGGGCAACAGTTCATTGCAGTGGAAAACAGCAAAGGTAGCAACAGCAAAAGGGGGAAAGGGCAGGAACAAGGCTTTTTTCCTCTCTTACACTGTGTGTAAACTACCTGCCCCAGGGTGGGTGCAGCACTCACGCCTATAATCCCGGCACTGGACCATGGGTCAATCATAAACTCTAGAAGCCTGCTCCATGACTGCATGAGGCTTTGGGGGACATCCAGACACAGTGACTCACCTTTGCTCCAGCTCCAGCATGCCCTGGTTTCCCTCCTGGGCATGCAGGAGACAAAGAACTGGATGTCTAGCCCCAGCCTTGGAGGGGAGCTGTGGAGCGGGAGGGCCATGGCCATAGATCCTAGGTGCTTTCTTGATGTCCAGGAAGGTGTCCCCTTCGAGGGCTCACAACAGCGCCTGGCAGAGTGGAAACAGTCCCCAAGTCCTCTGGTGGACGAGGACATGTGGCCCCGGACCCCTCCCAGGAAGGGCTTTGGAGACACTGTTGAGCCCTGGCTGTGGAGAGACATCCCCGCCACACCCTTGTCACGGGCTGTCCTGTCCTGCCAGGACACAGGAGGCCCGGCTTTGGTGACCCAGTGCAGGATGATCCTGACAGGTCAGCTGAGCCCCTGGATCCTTTTGTGGATCAGCAGAGGATGCTGGGCCTGTGACACACCCAGCAGCTCCTGGGGTGCGTGCTTGTTCCCCCTGCCCCCCACTGGTGCTGCTCCTGTGGGTGCTCCGCACACATGAACCCCACACCCTGCCCCAGAGGCGGACCCTGAGGGTCAGCGGCCGTAGCGAGGGCACAGGGAAGCACTGCCCTTCCCGGCAGCCGGCGGCTCTGCCAGAGCCTTCACCCTACGTGTTCCCGACGAGGAGCCCGGACTCCGCGTACCCTGGAAATGTGAGTGGCTTGTGATTGACAGGCATTGGCAGTTCGTGGTTTTGTGGTCTGTGGCTGCCAGGAAAGCATTTATCCTGAGCCTTGGCATCTGCTGGAGTTGCAGCCTGGCATCTCAGACCTGAAGGTGACCCCGGCCCAGGGGGGACCTCTCCTGCTGCTCGTTCTTCCAGTTCTGTCCAGCTCCAGAGACACAAGCCGACGCTGGCGAGAGCTCTGCCACGCATGCGACACAGCAACCCCCCACTGGTGCCAGTGGACCCAGCAAAGCCAAGCCACAGGTGGATCCAGATGTTCTTTCATGTGACCAAACAGTTCACCTGAGTGGACGTGAAGTCGTTCCAAGTCCCGGGCAACTGCCTTGCTTTCCTGACCGCTGGGACCATTAGCTGTGTGTCGAGGGAGATGCCGAGTCCTCGGTTCTGCGCCCTCCCTGGGCTGATGATCTGGGTGAAGATGGATGAGGGCTTTGTGGCCTTCTTCATTATTTGGGGCCCTTTTCACACAAGATCTTTTGTGTCTCAACCATGAACTCTGTTGAAGAAGAATTTCCGCGGGAAGTGTCTTCCTGGTCGGAGAGGAGGACACAGATCTCGGCTGTGCTTTTCATTTGCAGATGGCTGCGTATTTGATCTCTAGATTACAGCCAGTGGGGGTTGTTAGTTTGGTTCGTTTTCTTTTTTTCCAAACAGCCCTCAGAGTGGGAAGGGTTATTCCTCCACCTAAGCGGTCCAGTTACTAGGAGGTATAAAAGTGAAGCACATTGGAAAGGAAGGAAATTCTGATACAGGTCACCCCGTGGATTAACCTGGAAAACACGATGCTACAGGCAGGAGTCCAGGCACAGAAGGGCATGTTTCAGATGAGTCTGTGTGTAGGAAAGACCTGGAGCCCTCAAGTTCACAGGCGCAGAAAAGAGAGCAGCGGCGGCTGGAGCAGGGAAAAATGAGGAGCTGTTGTGTGAATCCAGAACTTTGCTCAGGATGATTAAAAACAGAAAGTTGTGGTTGGGCCGGAAGCGCAGCTCAGGGACAGATGTCAGAGGGCCCTGCCTGGCTCTGAGGCCCTGGATGCCACCCGCATGCAGCAGACAAGGTTGGGGACAGTGCAGATGGCGTTCAGCAGCAGGGTGGACCTAGTGTTGTGTACTTACAAATGCTTGAGGGCACCATGTTTCAGGTTAGGTATATTTTTTCACTGTTAAAAGAAAAAAGTTAAGCCGGGCATGGTGGCGCATACCTGTAATCCCAGCACTCGGGAGGATGAGGCAGGAGGATCGTTGCAAGTTCGAGACCAGCCTGGGCTACAAAGTGAGCTCAAGGCCAGCCTGAGCTGCATATCGAGACCCTGTCTCAAAAAGACAAAAAAACAAACAAAGAAAAAAAACCAGAAGTGAAGCAGAGTCAGAGGACAGGGCTGTGATGAGAGTTTGGGACGGATCTGGGGACGCTGGGAGCTGAACAGACCAGGGACTGAGCTTCCTTTGCCTTGAGCAGCTGTGTGACCCTGGAAGGGCCAGCTGTCTCCCAAGGCCGCATGGGGGTGGGGTGGGCTGAGGGGCTGTGCCTGGGGCCCCGTGGAGGGGTGGGGGCAGGGTGGGCCCGAAGCTCTGGGTGTGGCTGCTGCAGTCTCTGACCTTGGGTCTCACCTACCTCTCGGTGCCTCACTGGGCCTCCAAAATGCAAACAGCCACTTTTATTGGCCGGCATCTCTGGGAGGACAGACAGAGACGCAAGCAAGCTTTAGCAGAATGCTCACACAAGCTCTTAGGGTGTTTGAGATTCGCATTGCACAGACGAGTTGTTCTGTCGTTGGTGTGCACTGCTGCCCTTTCCTGACGTCTGGGGGTGCTTTCAACACCATGCTTCTGCCCCCGGCCCCGAGCAGATGAGCAGCTGGCTTGGCGTCGGCCCACCTGAGCCACCGAGCACCTTGCTCCCGAGCTCTGCTTCCTCCACATCCACTCACAGTGGTTTGGAGCTACTGCTAACAAAAATGCACCTAGAGGAGCGTGCTGCCGATGTGCCTGGCAGGGTGGCACATGCCTGTACCCTGCACAGGGGACTGAGGCAGGAGGACCGTCAGGTTGGGCTACACGGTGAGTTCAAAGCCAGCTTGAACTACTTAGTGAGGCATTGTTTCAAAAAATCAAAACAAAACAAAACCCCCCAAAACACAGCGTTAACAATAAATCAGTGGGGCTCTGAGAAAGAAGCCAGTAGTCGGGATGGGAACCGGGATAAAATAGTTCTTACATCGAGCATCAATTAGCTGAGTGTGGTGGCGCATGCCTGTAATCTCAGCGCTTGGGAGGCTGAGGCAGGAAGATTGATGTGAATTTGAGGCCAGTCTGGGCTGTATTAGTGAGTTTAGCCTGAACTGCATAGTGAGAACCCTTCTCAAAAAACTATTACCTAAACCTAAGCCTCCCAGCAACCAGGGCAAAACAGAGAAAGAACAGTGTGCGCTATGATATTTGATTTTAAAAAGGAATTTTGCCCTTCCCTCGCCTGGAGCTTGGCATATCCACTCTTCACTCAGCAGCCCTCAGGGACCATCTTCGCACCCCGGTGCTGAGGAGGCACCCTTGGGTCCCACGCTTCATGCCTGAGGCAGTGGCAGATTCTCTGTGTGCTTCTCCTGTTTGAAATGGGCCAGGTGGGGAGACACGCTCACTGACACCACCCTCGCGGCCAGACTCAGCGTGGTTCCGTGGAGGGGCACGGATGTCCCGAGGAGCAAGGTCTCCGTGCGCTGGGCAGGACTGCGTGAGCACGACCCAAGCAACCACTTTCGGCACCAGCCCTCAGGGACGGTCCCAGCCCCCACCCCTGCAGTCCCCAGTGGCTGCTTTGCTGCACACGTGGACCAGCAGGTCCCGAGAGTCCCGGGGAGCCTGAAATTTTAAAAAATTTGCAGTGCATCCATCAGCCCAGTGTGTTTTCCTGAAAACTGAAGAAAACACAGGATTCTAGGAGCCCAAGGTGTTGGTCCAGCCCACAGAGAAGTAGTGACCAAAAACCAAGGTCATGCACAAGAGAGGGCAGAACTCGGGCTGATGCATGTGGGTCGAAGCCGTCACCACAGGGAATGGGGCTGCCAGGCGGGGGACAGCAGGGGACCCCCGCCCTCAGCCCCAGGAGGAGGAGAGGGGTGTGGCTCTCGCAAGATCAACTCCCCACGAGCCGTGGTCATCCGCGCTCACCTGGGAGCAGTGAGCTGCTGTCCAAGGCAGAGGGCTCAGGGCCATGTCCCCATCCTCAGCTGGCAGCGCCTCCGCCAACACCCGCAGAGCTGTGCAGCCGTCCTGCCCAGGTCCAGGAGCGCACAGGTGGAAGCGCTGGCTGGGCCCAGGCGAAGGCCACACAAGCCTTCCACTGCGACCTCACCTGCTCACTACGTGGATGCTGGTTTCCTTTAAACACAGCCACGGCCTGAAGGAGCTCTTTGCGCAAGAAGATCTCCGGCATTTCCAAGTTTCATGCTTGTGACAGACACAGGAGATCAGAGAGCAGAACACGGACTGGCTTTCAAGAGCTCAGCAGAGTGAGCACGACTCACACTTGGTCTGTGATCCCAAATCCTATTTCCCACCAAAAAGAACCAGGCCCCTTGCAGAAGTGGCCAGATCCACATGGTGGCGGGAATTTACAAGGTGGGCCTGGGTGGGGCGTCAGAGCAGAACGCAAGGGGATGGTTGAAGGCCACCAGGGTTGTGTCCAGGGACTTGGCGGCCAGCCTGAAAGGGGACCCTGCCAGCCAGCCAGAGCCTGGAACATCAGTGGCGATGAACACAGCCATGTATTAAAGCCATCAAATGTATTTTAAAATCCTGAATTTAGTTTGCTACATCTAAATTTTCATTGGTCAAAAATTCCATCGGTCACATTTTTCCTTTTTTTTTGAGACAGGGTCTCAGGCTGGCCTTGAACCCACTTGTGTAGCCCAGGCTGGCCTTGAACTTGCGGCAATCCTCCTGCCTCAGCCTCTCAAGTGCTGGGATTACAGGCGTGCGCCACTATGCCCAGCTTCACTGATCACATTTGGGGGATCCTGGAAAGAACCACTATGTCATTGTGGTGTTGTTCTTGTTTGGAGTACTGGAGATCGAACCCAAGGCCTTCAACTAAGCTACATCCCAAGGCCTTTTCTCCTTTTTATTCAAAGATAGGGTCTCATTAAGTCTCTGAGTGCCAGGGGCAGGCTTGGGCCTGTGATCTTCCTCCTTCAGCCCGACCCCGGGTTGCAGACGTGTGCTGCCAGACAGTATTAGCAAATGAAAGGAGGGTCGTGCACTGCGGCTCCCTCCTGTACATCTGTATGTTAGTCAACTGTTGGATAAGGGGAAGTTTCTCTTTATAGAGCATTTCAACTAAGTAAATGCCGAGGAGCGCTGCGAGCTGCCTATTGCTAGTGCACATTTCCTGCAGAGCTCTCAGGTGGTCGTCAATTGCTGCAAGCATCGCGCACGGAGGAGACGGCAGACACTGCACCCATGGGGAGCACAGCCCATCCAGGAGATGAGCTCGCGGTACGGCTGGAACTGAAAGCTGATT